TTACACATGAAGTACCAGCCTCGGCCCGCGGCTACCCGAACTACGCGCGATAGGCGCGGGGCGCCGGCTGGGGCCCTTATCATCGGCTTTTCTCCATTTTGTCTCGACAACCTGATTATACTGAACTTAATATAGACTATATTGATCATGTAAATGACTTTGGTTCGAAAGTTGTCGGAGAAAATTGAACTTTGATCGGGACTACCTATATGAATTTGAGTACGGTTTTTCTTGGAATTTTTCGAATAAAATCTGAACAATTCCCACTGAACTGAACTTATTACTAAGATTACAAGATGATACCTTTTCTGCTGAATTGATCTAAATCGGAAAAATGGTACAGCCTTCCTTCCTCGTGCGTCCCCGTGCGATGCTTTCCGTTGCCGTGCATTTGCCGTGTGATAGGGACGGAATTTAAGGGAAAAATATGGACGATTTGGCTGCTGCTAAAAAGGGGTGATATAAACTGACCTTGTATGATCGGAACTTAAGAAAAAGGTCGCAAAATTTTCCCCAAACAACCCTTATATAGGTGGACGGCCGAGGAGACTTATGCCATGTCATGTGGACGTGGCTTCACCTACAATTTACACTTGCTCCTCTATTGTGCTTCTTATGATGACTAATTGATTTCTAATAAAGCCACGTGTCCAACTAAAGTTTGGAAGAAATTGTGATTTCCCCACAAAAAGAGAAGCTTACGGATTTAACATAACTTAGGGTAAAAATGAATAAGCTCACGGCATTGTACTAGATGCTTGGAAAATGATACCCTAATCTCACGGCTATTGGAAAAAAAGAAAAAATATTAGGGCTTATATGTGATTAATCCCAATTAATCACTCAATTGATGTTTAATTGTTAAATTAAATATAATACTTAATTACCAAAATTATTTCGGACGTAAACGGTACGCCGAAAATAAATTTCGGTAATCCGACTGAACTTAATTAATTCCGAAAATAATAAACGCTAACGTTACTATATCGGAATTAAACGTAATTTATGCTGATTAAAATCTCGGGATATTACAATTATTATTAACAATAATATCATTCATAAAATCTAATTAAGTGTAATCATGTATTTATAAAACCTAATTAATAAAACCTCATTTATTTTTCCTCCAAAAAAAAGTTACAAAATTTGTCATTCATATTTTGCCTTTCACATTAATGCACCCTATTAAGTGTAATCATGTTTTTTTTGCTATTATATTATATAATAATTAATGCTATTACCAACTCATAATATTTCACACTAAATATAAATTACATAAGTATAAACAATTTTATTGTTTCAAGATATTATTATTATTGTTGTTGTTGTTATTATTATTATTATTATTATTATTATTATTATTATTATTATTATTATTATTATTATTATAGTAGTAGTCAATGCTATTTTTTTGCTATTATATTATATAATAGTTAATGCTATTATTTTTTTACATGATTACACTTAACAGGGGTATATTAATGTGCAAGGCAAAATATAAATGACAAATTTTGTAACTTCTTTTGAGGGAAAATAAATGAGGTTTTATTAATTAGATTTTATTTATGAGGTTTTATTTAATGATTAGCTAGCAATTATATATATATATAGATTTTAATAATCTGCACTGCCACC